TATACACAAATTTTGCAATCAATTTTTTCTGATATTACTGTTTTATTTTCGGTTGTATGCTTGTGTAAAAAAACAAAAAAGTTTAATAAGATATGGGTCTTGAACTACAGACATTCCGTTTACAAAGTCAACACCATATCTAAATATGCTAAATGTGCATATAAGTATGAAAACAATCAATATACTTATTTTAAAAATTATTATTATTTTTTCCATAAAAAAAAGAAACTTAATTAAAATTTACTAAATTAATTGACTTATTACAAAACTAGTTATTGAATATTGTATTGTCATCAAGCTAGAGTATGTATGCAAAATTTGAAGAAAATCTATCATCAGGAAGTGATTTATTACAAGATTTGATGCTCACAGACAAACAATCAGTGACGATGAGTAAATAAAAGCATTGGTATAAAAGCCCCTTACATTTGCAAAAAGACCTCTAAATTTGCAAAATATGCCCCCAAAATTCCTTCCCTCCCCCCCCCCTCCTTAATAGGTGAGTCTGGGTGAACCTAGCCGCTGCTCTAGACAGTACCTAAAAAAGTTCTATAGGCACTTTTTTAAGTAAGATTGCGCAAAAGTTGAACAAAAGAGCGGTAAGAAAAGATTATTCAATGTGAAAAAGTTTGAAAAGCTTCCAAAGATATTTTCTGTTTTTCCCGAGGTGGAATCTTTTAATGGTTTTATAAAAAACCTTTTTTAAAAAAGACTTTTAATCAAAACAGAAAAACCTTTTTTTAATCTGCAGTTTTATTTTTAACTCAAATTAAAAAATGTTATATCTATTTTAATACACAATACAATTTTAAGCACGCAAAAATTGATTCAGTAAGTTATATTATATAGGCCAACAGATATACAATAGGGGTGTTTAGAAAAAAAAACTTTTGATTTTAAAAAACCAAACCATCTAAATTTGAAGCAAATATGCTTAAACTAACTCCCAAAAAATTTGAGCACCATTGTATCACTCTTTCCTTGTGAAAATCCTGACTAAAAACGGTTTATTTTAAGCCACGAATCAGAATTGATTCAGAATTGAGTTAATTAAACTCTATTGATTGCCTTTCTTTGTTCTTTTTTTCTTTCTGTTACTCTCTGCTGCCAGTAAGCAAAAAAATAATCAATTTTAACTGAAATAATAAATAATAAAAATATCTTCTAAAATTTTTTCAGTTTAAAGTTTAACCATTCTACTAAACTTAATATCCTCTGTCCTAAATATGAACTTACTTACTCCAACCAAGTTTTCCAAAAACATCAAATCCTCAAGCTTATCTTTGCTGATCTTTTATTATGTTATAATTTTTTATGTCTTATATGTTTTTCAAATCTGTTATGCCCAAAAGATTGTTTTTAAGGTTTTCTGGTTTGCTAAATATTATTCTTCAGACCAGAGTACTGATTTAACTTTGTGAAAACTAACATCACTAACTACATCAAATCTCATGTTTATCCAAGGTTTCTTAACCTTTTTCAACTTAAAGTTTAGTTATAACTAAATTAATATCAAAGTATGTTTATAGTTGAATCTCTGAATACAAATTTTTTATTGAAATCATTTAAATTAAACTTTTTTTATCTCTCTCTCTTCTTTCTTTCTCTATATGTAAATATTTTAAAGCGAGTTACTTAAAAGTATAAATTACCTAAATTTTCCTGATTTAATAGTAATTTCTTTTTTTATTATGTCTCGGCTTAGATTTTTTGCCCAATTCACACGGGTTTCTTATTTCGTTATACATTTTCATTGCAATTTAATATAATAATAATAGTTATGTAATGACTAAAAAAATAACTAAATTTAAATCTAAACTAAACTAAATTAAATGTAAAAACAAAGTTTCAGTCGATTTAAAATATAAACTATTTTTAATTAAGAATTAAGATATTTATGTCCAAGAAAAAAAATTATAAAATTATTTATGTCAGTCTTGGCCTCAAGACACTTAAATTTGCCGTTTTTAGTCATTTTGAGGTCATTTTTTTTCCAAATATGCTCTTCGAGGGCAAGGAAAGAGTGATTTAATGAAGCTCAAATTTTTTGATATTTAAGTTAAACATATATGCTTCAATTCTAGATTTAATTTAGTTCTAGTTTGGTTTTTTAAATTCAAAAAATATATTTTCTAAACTCCCTACATATACAATTTATACATAATATTGCATATATACGAATGTTTAAATTCTTTAATTCTATTTAAAAATTGATTTTTAAATAGAATTAAAGGCTGAACCAGGAAACAGTGTTGCCTGGCTTGTATTGCATATAAAGGGTAATATTGCATTCAAATTCAATCAAGTGTACTTGCAGTGCAGTATTTTTTTTAATTTGGGTTTTATTAAAGGTTAATTTTAAAATTTTTTCTAAAAATAATCTTCCCAAAGTCTTTAGGTATTTTTAGAACCTTTTTTGACCAAAGAAGATTTGATTTTCTTGAAAGCATTAAGTTGTGAATTTTGTTAATTTTGTTTGAAAAATATTCTGATCTATTAAAAGATCATAAAGTATGTTGGCTATCTAGTCAAATAATTTTAAGTACACTAAGTTAAACGATGATAATTGTTGTACTGCAGTACCTTTTTAAAATTTTAGTTATTTACATTAAAGAAATACAACGTTTTAAACAAAGTAGATACTCTTGTGTCTTTATTACAAGGGGAGAAGGTGGTAATAAAAAAAGGATTGGGAGTTTTAATCCTGATCTAATAAATGGGGAAGTTTTAATAAAAGGAGTATGATGGGAATTTTTTTTATGTTAAATATAAAAAAAATTAATAAGATACTATTTAAAATAAAACTTTTTATATATGCTTTAAAACTAAACAAAAATTTGATACAAAGTTTTTATAAATGTTTTTTCTATAGTTTCATAAAATTTTAAAATCATCAAGTTAAAACTATTTTTAAAACTTAAACCAATATAATAGAAACCAAGTTTTAAAAAATTTTAACAGAATTTCAATTATTCAAATATAAGCTTTTTCGAATTCAGAGACAAAGAAATCATGTATTAAATAAAAAAATAATATAAATTGGTAAGATACTATTTAAAATTAATCTTTTTATATATGCTCTCAACAGCAATATTTACTCATATTGGCATTATTTTCAAAGGTTCTGTGTCCAAATACGCACAAATGAACATTATCCTTTGCATTAAGTAAAGCAATTAATTAATTTAATTTTTATAACTAGATTATAACTTAATATTACATTAAGCTTAAATATCGAAGCATCACGTAACATTTATCCTTTTGTATATATCTAATTTTGTCAAAAAATCAAATTTAAAACAATTGATTATATAATTTGATTTGTGTTCTTCTATTGGCAGGTACATCAAAAATCTAAAAAGAAAACTTTCTAAACATCTCTTCAACAATAATTTTAGGTGACAAATTAATTTTTTTGCTAATGTTTAATATTTACTTGTAATTTTTCAATAACAATAAGTTCATTACAAAGTCTACAAGCATACAAAATATTCACATAAAAATCAAGTTTGACCTTAGACCAAAAATAATCTAAACTTTTTTATATTTCTAAAAACTAACACCACAAAATATGTTTTTTTTAAATATAGGTTTTTCGTAAAAGGTTTCATCTTCTAGCAAGCAAAAAACAAACTAGAAATACCTTTTTGCAAAACCTTTTTTTTTTTGTACTTTTCATTTGTTGTAGTTTAAAGTTATTTTTATTCTTGATTTTTATATGAAAAATATTTGTAAAATTGTTTATATTTAGTTAATATAATTAATAATTAATAACAGTGTTAAATTAGTTTTTTTAATGTATTTAATACAATTTTTTTTAAATGAAGATTTGTGACAGGTTTTTTTATAGTCTAAAAATTCTAAAGTGTATAAGAATTTTGTTAAGAAAAGAAGGGTAAGTACCAAGGAACATTTTTTTATTGGTAAACCAGTTAAGATGTCTTCCTAGTAGCGAGCAAGCATTTTCTTGAATAAAAAGAATGGGTCCCAGTGCTCAAAATAAGCATCTTGTATCTTGTCTGCTTCGCAACAACTTCATTTTCAATTTATAGTTTTTAATTCAGTTAGTTCAAACTGATCCTATAACTACAAAGAACCATTTTTATTTAACATTTTAACTACATTGAGAAACAAATTTAGTTTAATATAAAGTTATATTAATATAAAATTAATAAAAAAATTTTATGTAATTTTTTAACATACAAAATTATTACTGAAGTGTCATACTGTTACTACAATGAACTTAAAAATTTTTAAGTACTTAAAAAGTCTTTATTATTTTAAAAATTTTTTAATAGTAATAATTTTCATGCTAGTAATAGTTTTTAATAGTAATAATTTTACTGTTACTACTATGAACTTAAAATCTATCATTAAATATAAGTCTTGTTGAGAAAAGTAAAAAAAAAATTTTTCAACTTGTTGCCTCTTGCATTTGGTGTGGGGTGGGGTGTTGGGGGTTGAAGTCAAAGGGCCTTGTTCTTAGTCTGTAATTATCACAATTTTTTTGTAAAGCATTATTCTACATAAGTATAACCATAGAAAAGTTTAGAGATTGCTCAAACAATAAAAAATCTTGGATCAGTCACTTTGGTACTATTAGGTGTACTTTGTTGCTAAGATCAATATAATTATTGGGCCTGTCACACTGCAAAGAGATACAGCAAAATATATTAAAGATTTTTAAAACTCAAGAAGAACCAGCTCAACAGTATGGCAGGATGTGTACAATCTTGCACTGAATTTATAAAGACTTGAAGCAGGGTTGGCAAAAACCTGTGGTTTTTTAAAAAAACTCTGGTCCAGTGGGTTTTTTGAGTAAATTTAGGTTTTTTTTGGAATATTATTTTATTTTGTCTTTTTAAAGTTTTTTGTTTAATGGTATTGAAAAATAGTTTGTTTTCTACTTTAACTTAATTTAAAATTTATTTTATATATTGTTTTACAGTTTGACATATTTTTTTTAAATAATTTGAAAAACAAGAGTTTTTCAAATTATTTAAAAAAAAAATGTCAAACTGTAGGAGGTAAAAATAGTTCATGTGAAATCTTTATGTATTGATTTATTTTAAATTTATAAGTATTATTCTATTTAATTTAAAATGTAAATAAAAAATGGGAAAAAGTAGGCTAGAGAAAAGATGGTAGTGACTGAAGTTTCAACTAAACATTGATCTTGAAATTCAAATAACAAACTTTTTTTCTGCACAGAGGCCTCGTTTCTAAAGGTTTGTGTTTAGGAGTTAAAGAGTTGAAAGAAGGTTTTAACCATGATATGATAGCCTTCTTGAGACTATCTTTTATTAAACAAAGAAGAAACAATTGGGTTTAGACTAAATATACAGCATCGACAAGTTTTTGTGAAAGTTTATTTAATCATTCAAGAGGTACTAAAGTGTGCGTTACTGATGTTGTACATCCATCAGGAATATTTTTTTCAAAACCAAGTACACAGTCCAACTCAGAAAATGATTTGTGTTACTATAGTTGCACATCTATCTGAAATATTTTTTTTAGAACCAAATACTAGACATGTTATAAATGACATGTTATAAATGTACTTAGTTCTAGTAGAAACTAATTACAGGCACTTTCACTAAGAAATTTTGACAAGCCCAAATAAACTATTGCTGTCAACATAAAGATGATTGAAGAGACTGAGAATAGCTATAGGCATGGATACAACAGCTCATAAAATATTAGTAACCCTAATTAAGCTTTCCCCAGCTGTCACCACAGCTGGAGATCTCTTTCTTATACTTATGCTTTTTGATTGAAAAATAACATCAACAAAGATACTGATAATATTAAGGTTCTTATTTAAAATAAGATCAAACAAAATAAGATAAAAGTTCAGTTACACTTTGATTGAAAGTTAATCAAGGTTTGCATATATTTATTTATAACTAGTATGTTAAATAATTACAATGAAAATGTTTTTATTACATATTTATTTGATTCCAAATTCCAGAACATATTGATATTGACATATTGAATATTTAATGTTGATGTAACAGTTGCTAAGATTTGCATTCTTGTGAGAGCTGAAGGAACTACTCATCTACTTAGTGCTCCATGGGTTCCTTCCCATACAGGATTAAATTGGTTTAGGCTATCAAGGAGGTTTTGACCGAGTTTGGTATTGCTGATTATGTAAGAATGGTTTTCTTTGACACTACTGCTACCAATACTGGAATAAATTGTTGTGCTAAATGCAGGTAAACAATTTTTTTTAATAATTCAACAAAAGAACTCTAAGAGCTAATACAACAAACGATTCATTAATGGCTTCAATTTTATTAGATTGAGTTTTAGATATATTCTTGGAACATTATGAGTCAGCAGTTACCATAGGTCAGCAGACCTGGCAATGTACTTTTGTTGATGTTGATAATGACACAGTTTATTGATCACTTCAATTCGCAACAGATTTGTCATTCTTAGTTTAAAGAACAAGCAGATGAGGCAAGAAATCTTTTAATAACACTTGTTAATGAAGGTGTTTTCAAATATTTTCAGGTTAATTTTTCTAGCCATTTAAATGTTCAAGTTTATGTAAGAAATGTGAAATATTTATTAATAAAAACAATATCCAACATTACCAGGAACTAGAGACTACCAGGAACTTACTGAGCTAGCTCTTATTTTTTAGGAACCAACAATCAAGCATCTCAACATTCACAAGCCTGGGGCAAGTAAACCATACACGTTTTATGGCAGTAAGTATTTACTGATCTGAAGAGTTCGCAATGTCATGCTTCCTTATAATTTGACAAAGCAAATCCTGAACTTGAGACAAAAGGAAGATAAAGAATGTGGAAAAGATGGCAACATATATTTCAATTTTCTATTTTCCTAAATTTCTCAGAGCTGGGAATTCAGATACAGCTGCAATCAAGAATAGTTTTTTTAGCCTTTGATTTCATAATGTTATAAATAAACTCATATTAGCATTATTATTTGATAAGATAATGTTAAAAATTATTGAAGTATTAACTGTACAGGACCAGCTCTTTGTTCTGGCAGATTCTCCATCGGAAAATGTTTAAATTAGATGCAGCGTCAGCTTTCAAAATTTGGAAATACCTTCAGTGGTTGATTATGTAAGAGCGAATTCGTGGCTATTATTTGATATTTTTGAACCGACTGTTTTCAAGCATGATCTTTTTTTTTTTTTTTTTTTTTTAACATCTTCACTTCCAACAAGGCTGCAAGCAACCACTATAAGAGTTGGAAGTTACTGGAAGAGAAAAGACTAAATCTGTAGAGCAAGATAACGATTGACTCTTTATTATTTTACCAATTTTATAAAACAGTAACTTTTACTTTCAAATTAATTTTCAAAAATCTTTTTAATAAGAAGTTTTTTTGATATTAAGATTTTTTATTTTTTGAAAAAATTGTATTTTGTGAATTACGCCCTTTTAACAAAAACCGATTCATTTAAATTTAAATGCACAACTCTTGTTTGACATAGTTACTGTTATTGGAAACCATCTCTTAGACATTAAAAAGTTTTGGTATTTGAAAAACCAAACCATCTATATTTGAAGCAAATATGATTAAACTAACTCGTAAAAAATTTGAACGCCATTGAATCACTCATTCCTTGCCCTCAAATGACATATTTGAAACAAAAAAACGGACCTTAAAATGACTAAAAACTGCTTAGTTTAGACCAAGACTAACATTAATATTTTTTATATTTTTATATAGGGCATATAAATATATGAACTTTTAATTAAAATTTCCCTTATAAAAATATTGCAGTTTACATTTTAATAATCTTTGATTTCTTTTATTCTTTACTAAATTGTTTATCAGTTATATCAATTGTTTATCAAGGTCAAGATGTCCTTGTGTTGGGCGTTGAGGTTACAAGTCACCTTGTGGTATACATCGTTTCTTGCAAAACAATTGCATAAATATTCTTTCTTCACTTTGTTTAGGATAAATTAAATTAGTATAATATTTGAACTAAAATTTAGGTCTGTTTTTATGAAATAGCAGTTCAATAGTAGTCAAAACAGCATCAAATTCATTCAAATTTGAAGTCTGCACTGTAAAATGTAATTTTAAAAATATTATATTTATTATAAATATGTGTTTTTATATTAAATAAAAAACTATCAATCGCATATATATTTGGAAAAAAAACCGCTAAAGTAATACGTTCGTTTTTATTAATTTTAAACAAACGCCAACGTTTGCATAAGCAAAATTAAAGAAAAGTGACGTTCGTTTTTCTTCCTGTTTTTTTTTTTAACAAACGTTTGCATGTTTACAAGAACATACACTTAACAAGTATCATTTATTGCAGCATGAAAAAATTCTTTAGACGAACGTTGTTTACTGCATATGAAAACAGTTATATATTATCTTTTTGTAATAGAATGCAGGCATTTTAAGAATTATTACAACAAATAAAAATTCTACAATAAAAGTGAATAATATATCAAAGTAATTGATATATAAAATATAATTAATTACATAAAATAAAAATTATTATTCAGCAATTTAGTGTAATAATTTTTTTAACAGTTAAATAATTTTATATTTGCCAATATAATTAAAAGTGCAGCAAGTTTTTGTTAAGAGTTTAATCTTATCAAAAACATTTACATTTAAATTGGCGCTCTTTTAATTTTTTTTTTGTTTAGTCGAACGACCATATCTTTTAAAAAGCAGTTGATAAAAAAATACGGTTGAATATAATTTTTTTTTTTTTTTTGATGGCTTAGTGTTTTCAATTTTAGTTACAATGATCCGGGGCTGTAGGAACAAAAATTATATAACAATTTTAAAAAGTAGGTTGTATGTAAAATTATAATAAGGTTTTTTCGGTTTTAATCTTTTCGTTTTAAGAACCTGCTACCGCTATCGTGCATTTGGAAATCGGTTGCGATGGTTACAAAATCATATTATAAGCGAAACGTTTGTTTTCAATATTTACTGTTTTTTTCGAATTTATTAAAAGATTTTTTGAAGTTCGATGATCGAGTTTTAAATTTCACTTTTCAATTTATTTTCTTAAAATGCTTTACGGTATCATTTTGTTATCATTGTTTATTAAAATTCACACTGGTAACAAAAATTTTTAAATTTTGTAAGTATACTTCAGTTTTATAATCAATTTTTTCTTTTCATTTAAAAAGTTTATGTTTTGGAACTAAAGTCGAATTGTTTTATGGCGATAAGACGACAATGACCGCTTGAATATAATTATAAAAACAATTTTTTTTTTTCATTTTTGTTTATTTTGTTGATATATTCAGTGAATTTTTTTAAACAAAAAAAATGCAAGAAAAGATGCTAAGAATATTTAGATTTAATATTTTTGATAATAATTTGATTTCAAGATATAAGCTGATTCTATTCTAAGACTGTAATTTCAAGCGAATTTAATTTTATTCGTTTCATTCGATTTAATAAACATGTAAAATATTCCCACAATATAGTTCAATAATTTGTAAATCGACAGTTCGTCCAAGTTTTAATACTCCTGTGACACTATTGCCATTAGTAGCTTTTTTTATGTTCTCACCGTAAGTAAAATTTTCTTATTAGAACTTGTGTTTATTTGGTCACTCGTAAAAAGAAATATTAATTTTATAAAATGATAGTGAAAGTAAAACTTTTCTTTAAAATGACTGTTACATGAATTACAAAATTTTAAAACAAAATTTTATTTGTCTATTTAAAAAACATGCATTCGATATAATTTGTATAAAAATTTAAATTTGATTGAATTGATTATTGGTTCTTCTTAGCTGCGTTATTTGCTTTTTTTTTTATGTTTTAATAATATATATTTTGTAGCCTTATTCAAGAAGCGCTAATTGCATCAAAATTTAATTTACAAGTTGTATAAAAGTTGCAAATTTTTATTGATTTTCTTCAAAGTTTCAAATCGACGTCGAAATCGAATCACCAAATATTTGAACCCTCACTCTTTGACGTTTTTCATATTCATTTAATTTATTTATTTTAAAAAAGATTGTCGAAGGAGATTTTCGATGTAAATTCTAAATTTGAACAAGTTCTGTAGAAATTCGGTTTATAAATACATTGAGTTCTTCACAAATTTGCATATAAATAAAACAGGTTTTCCTTTTTATCTTCTTATATAAAAAAAATGATGATATTTTATTCGAATGACAATATGAATAAATAAAGCATTTTTTCTAAGTTAAACATATTTTTAATCTGTTTTTTGATATTTTAGGTAAAAAATATATTTTATATATGTATGTTTATATATGTATATTATTGGTTATTAAAAATTATAAACACAACATTTATAATAAAATTTATTAATATAAAAATTATGTTCAAAATAATAAAATTAGTATATTTTTTATAATTTTTATTAAGAAGTTATTTTGTTTAAAAGTTTTATTAAGTTTTATATATAATTTCATTTATTATTAATGTGAATATGTTTATTATATTATAATATAAATATAATATATTTATTAATAATATGAAAATGTATTCAATTTTTTATTTAATTATAGTGTATTAATTATATTTGTATATAGAAAAATAATAATATTATATGTATAATATCACAATTTTGATTATTATTTTATTTTTTGTTTATTATTTATTTGTTTATTGTTATATTTCACATTTAATTTTTCTTTAGATCGTCTATCTAAAAGTATTATTAAAGGTTCTTATGATGAATTCAATTTTTTCTACGAATGTTTTTACGAAAGTCAATCGCCATTCACTGATGAAATAAAATCAATTGTTGATGAACAAAATAAACAAAGGTTTGGTTTTGGTGGTTGGAGGATTTCGATTGACGATAGAAAAACTTCTTACGCAACTTCTTGCGATAATTATTTCGTAAATTATTACATAAAATCTGGAAGAAAGTTAAGGTGGTTATATGTTGATAAAAATATTTTAAGTGATGAAGAAAAAAATCTTTTAATTCGATGTTTAACTCATGTTCGCACTGTCAGCTTTTATCGTCCAATTAATTTCGAAGGATGGAAACCGAAAGATAAGATTGAAAAGTTGTCGATATGCATCGCATATTATTTAATAACAAAAAATGATTTTAAAGAAAATTTTCTTCCTTGGATTAATCTTTGTGAAAAATTAGATCTTGAACTTAACGACGACATTGATTTCTTTAAAGACATTTGTGAATGGATTCGTTGTTCGAACATCAAGAAGTTTAAGATCAAGTACCGTGGAAAAAATTTTCGTAACCTTGATGAATTAACTTTATAACGCGGAAAAATGTTTAATATTTTAAATATATAAAATAAAAACATCAATTATAAAATAATAAATGAAATATTTAATTTATTTTTAAATAGTGAAAAAATAAAAAATTAAATTATTTAATTTATTTTTTTATAAATATATTTGCTTTAAATATACGAAATAATTTAAATATATTAGATGTAAATAAAAAAGTTCAATATTATATTATTATATTATTCATATTTATAATTACTTCTTTTTAAAATATATTAATTAAAATAGTAATTACATAAACTATTAAATATATAATTATATTTGTGGTACATAGTTTTTCATAATTATTATTTTTTCAACATTTTTAATAATAATAATAACATTAAACTATAAATAATAATAACTGATTTTAATCTTTGTTTAAATATATAATTTTTTTTATAAACTTTTTTTTTATATTTTCATAACTATATCATGAATTTTGATCATTTTGATTATAATATTAATATATTTTTTCTTTTGTTACTATAAATATTAAAATATAATTAATATCAAAAAGTGTTAATTATATAAAATACTAAAATTAGATTAAATATACTT